GGAGGAGACGGGTGGCAGCCTGTTTTTAACGTGCCAGTCCTCATTACCATCCCTATTCAAGCAGAGCTCAGCAAACCATGGCATTAAATATACATGGAAACCTACTTTCATCAAAAGGACCTCCCTCTAACTAACATCTTATTATATGCAATAAGAGTGCCTCTGCATCCTCAAACCTTTGAATGAAAGAGAATCAACAAAACAGTGTTCCCATTCCCATACATCCTCTTTTAGCTGGTCCTGATTACCTGCTGGTGCACATGCCAAACATTACTTTCCGCTTTAACGTGACTGTAGATAGGGTATTTGTGTGTACCTTTGCTTATTTTTCTATTGTCTTATATAGATTTATAACCCTTCTTGATTTAACACTTCACCTTGTGCCACAAAATGTCAAGTAAAGGCTTTTTTTAATTTTTTCCCCTTTAGATTGGTACAAAGTACACAGCCGAGAATTAAATTCCATGTAAACCTGGAGTAAAAGTATCCCACAGCAAAGGAGCTGTCTCTGTCTGAGCATGAGTCACATGTAATAGTGCAGAAAAGGGCTGGCCTGATTTTGATGAAGCCAGACTGGTAATATATCTGTCTTCCCTTTGAGATCTAGCATTTTGCAAAATTACCATCATTTTCCTTGCTGAGGGAATTAAATGCTGACTTTAACAGGTACATCTCCTGCCTTTCTGGAGCAACTATCATAAAAATAGTTGTATTCATATGAGATTTTTTTTCTATAGTAAGGGCTTTTGCAATTTAAATACTGATCTGATTTCACCTTGAATATAATGGAAATCTGTAAAACCTACATGGACCAAAAGGGCACTGTGTATTATTTGTGGGAAAAGTGTGTAATAAAAACTCCCTCCCTAGGTGAACATGTTTCCAGGAAAAAATATTACTCCAGGACTCACAACAGTTTTGTGTTTGGCCTTGTTGAATTGTTTTAATTCTTTTGGTTTTGCTACACAAGGGGCAGAGCTCCATCAGTGAGACTTAACATGCTGTTGACTCTTTATCATGTTATTATCCCAGAAAGAAATGTTCACACACAAAGCACATTTAAAATGTTTTAATTCATGCTGCATCTCATGGTTTAAAGGACTTCCTTTTCTGTAGTCTCACCACCTGAAACCTGAAGCTGTTGACCTGATGGAAGAGCCTGAAGCTCCTGGAACAGAGGTTGCAGACACAGCTTTGGATTTTTGATGGGGTCCAAGTGCTGTAGATGTCGTTTAACATTGCTTGCTGAGAAACAATTATTTTGCTGGCAATATTCATAGTTTTGCTACAGTAAGTCAGTTCTGGGCAGTATTGGCATGGTAATGCCAATACAGTATGCACAATGTCAAGATAATGACTTTAAAAAAGATCTTAAAGTAAAACAATTAGAGTGAAAAGAGGCAAGTACACGGGGTAAAGACAAGGCAATTAGATAATTAGATGGTAAAACCTTGTCTTTTATGGAGAAATTGCACCAAGTATGTTTAAATAACTAAGAAATTATTTTAAAAACATAACCAAAAAACTGAGCTATATTGCAATGAAAATAATTAAAAAATGTTTTATTGTAGAATATTATTATATTTACAACAATATAGCTTTGGGATCTTACAATCAAACTATAGTGTGGCTCAGTTTCATAATAGTACTGTTTTAATAGGACATACAGTATAAGCTGAACCTTTTGGCCATCTATGTGTACCCTGTATTTATTTCTTATGCATAAGGTCATTTTAGTATTTACAGTGTATTTTATTTCTGGGTAACCTTTGACAAAAAACACATTTTCTAAAATCTCAATATATTCCTTTAAATAAAAAAAGTCAATAATTCATCTTTTTGCCTCTTAAAGACCAATCATGTCTTTTCTGCCCCTGACAGGGAGACATTAAACACTGAAAAATGCATTCTTGGCAGAGGTCACAGTGTGATCAGGGGAGTCAGCTGAGTTTTGACTAGCATATGGCAAAAGGAAGCAGCTTGTCAGAAGTGGGAACATCTGAACACCCCCTAGGATCCAGAGAGGAGCTTTTCTCTGTTCTCTCTCCTGCAGGTGAGCCACAGGTAGCTGTGGGGAAGCTGTCAGTACTGCAGGGCATGTGAAACTACACACACACACACACAGAAACAGAACCTGGGAACAGTCTATTCAGTAGAAAATAAACACAAACCCTGCCAAAGATGAAATGACTTGTCACTTACAATCTACAGCAAGCCAACACTGTTAGAGGAATGTTTAAGCAGAAAAACAGATTTACCAGAACAATGCATGTGGGTGTGAAATCTGTGTTCACTGCACAGCCAAAATGCTTCACATGTGGATAAATGTCACTGTTAATTGTTTTCTGTGAGAGTGAATCAGAGTTGTAACTGTGTTGCCATGACTGCAAGTCCTAAGCTGCGTATTCTCAGATATCCCCAGGCATCGGACCATAGGTGAGAGTATTAACTGAAAAGACCTGACAGGATGTAATTGTTGGCAGATGCAGATGTAACTTTAATCTTTGCCCTTTTTATGTTGTGCTTGAATGCTTTGACCTATGCAAATGAACCTACTGACAAATCTGTTTGTTTTTGTGTATATCTGTGTCTGCTGTCTGTGAAGTAAAAGAGCATAATGGTGAATAAAGGATTTGCTACAGCATAAATAAAGTTCTCCACAATGGAGGAAAATCAAGTAGAGGGCTGCAGTCATAACAAAACAGCTGAAAATGATGGTCAAATAAGTTATAATCAGCCAGTCAGACACGTTTCAAACAGATTACCAATGCAAGTAAACAGATGTTGATAACTCCATTGAAATTCCAGGAAATTGTTGCAGTAGATAATGTAAGACAAAATCTATGAATAATAAATGTACTTCTGAGTCTCATAAATATATTGTATTAAAATAGAACTAAAAAATGCTAATAATCTTAGGTGAAATTTGATTCATTACTACATACTATAAATGAAATGATGCCATTTTATTCAGTGTACATGCAGCAAATAAAAAGTTGTAAGTTTTGAAGCAGCATTTAATACCATTTGAGAACAAAACAAGCTGTAAGCACAACATTTACACAGTAAAACTATACAATATAAAGCTGATGTGGTGATTATTTTTCATATTAGCAAATCCTACAGTGGCCCTGAGAGCTTATGGCACTGCAACTTGAATGAAATGATACTGGTGAAAACAATGAGAGTGAAACAAAACAGGGAAGCTGGAGCTGGGTGGTGATTTTTTGGTGCATTCATACTTTATTTGCATAAATTTGTCAGTGATGTGTCCAGGGTGTAACTCACCTCTGGCCAAATGTTGGCAAGGAATGGCTCCAGCCCCTCCACCACAACACCCCTCTACAGGATAAGGTTATAGATAATAGATAGGTGGCTGCATTTGACATACCTACATGATACTGTGTATTTCTTGTTCTTAATGGTTTGTTTTCACCAGCTCGAACAAGGAGCCTGATATTTCAGCTTTCTGTATCTGCCAGTCAACTGAATCACTTGAAAAAGAGTTTTAAAAAGCATGGGGATCATTTCCTGAGCAGCTGGGATATCACTATACTGTGAGCGATGTCAGCAAAAACTTTACATGTCATCATGGGTTGTTGTGTGTTGCTTGATAGACAAACTACCAATTGTATCAATTTAAAGTTAAATCTAGAGATTGCAAACAGTAAAGGGGGCTGAATCCAATCTGCAGCCAGCGTAGATAATGTGACATTTTATCAATTATAATTTAACTGGCTTTTGACAGTGATGGATGAAGCTCCACGAGGAAGCCTATAAATCAGGTTAAATTGTGAAAATGGGTATTGACTGTATTGTCTGAAGTCTACTTGCTTTTAGCTTTTAGTAACTTCTTACTGAAGTTAAATCAGTTTGCCTTTGTGAAAAGTCTTTCTGACTATTACTTCACTTTTGAAGCAGCCATTAGCTGCCACTGAATCAAACACTGATCATAATCTTGATTTACTTGGCTTCAATAAAAGCTGCATACCTTGAGGTAACTAATAAAAGGGTTTTTTTCTCGCTGCTCTACTTTTTTACTTGGACACTCTCCCCCTTTTTATGGTGATAATTTTTTTTTTCTACTGTCATTCTAGTTTGTTGATTCTGCTTTTGTTTGCTACTGAATTAGAAAGAGACGATAAGTCTATATACACATCCAGTCAGTAAATCTGAACTACAATCAATGAATAAACTGCAATCAAAATTGAGTTTTGCAAGTTTAGGCATGGTTCATTTTACTTCCCTGACACCACTGACCTGAGGTATTTCAGGCAGCCATTATCATCTAAAGGAGAAAAAAAGGCTGAACTCACATACTAGATCCACTCCAACAATGTCTAATCACTGCAGTCTGGATTTAGTCTC